TTGTGGTCCTACAAAGTAAATAGAAGCCTATTTTGCAAAAAAGACAACATTGGTACCTTTAATTTTTCTTCTCCTTGACTATTATCTATTTTTTTAAGATAATTTATTATAATATACTTGAAATAAGATCTTCAAAAATATGATATTTTCTTCACCTTTTCATTTATTAGCCATTTTACACCATGATATCTACCTCTCCTAAACTCATACATCCTCCAACATGCATGAAGTTTTCTATATCATTTTTATATAGAATGTCCTTTATCGTGGTCAAATTTTCAATCTTTAATTTGTTCTTCTTCTTCTGTTTCAATATTCCTTGATAGATTTTCTTCTTTATTAAAAAAATATCTTCACTTCTTTGTTTAAAGAATTTGATTTACTTGTTTACTATAAGTATCTTCAATTCTATACCATCAAATTCTCGTAACAAATATATTCCATTGTCATACACTTGTTTCACAATATAACACCCTAAACATCTCTTTGCAAATTTTTTAGTCGTGCTATGTTGATTATCTAAGCTACTATCATAAACTAACATCCAATCACCATCTTTAATTGCCTTGGGTCATATTTGATATTTTTTATCAAATATTTTTTTATTCTTTTTCTATGCTTCTTTCAACCTTATTGTTTCTGTTTCAATATCATTAGGTCTTCTTTTTAATTGTTGAATTTGTAATGCTAAAATTTCTTCAACATTGAAATCATCCTTCTAAGGTAATACATCCCATGTAGGCACTACTTCTTTTATTGGCATTATTGGTTTTTATCAATATAATAATTCAAAAGGTATATAACCTATTATTGAATTATAAATTATATGATGTGTCCATAGTGTAAATGGTAATAGTTTAGGCCATTCATGTATTTTGCCATTACATGCCTTTATTAATGCCTTAACAATATGTGAATGCCCGCACTCACTCTTTCCATTTCCTTCTAGATTACATGTTGTTATCAATAAAAGTTTAATTTCTATTCTACTAAAGAATTCTCATGCTTCCCTTGCATCCAATTCATTCCTATCTGCTGTAATTTTTTCAATAAAACTATAGCAATAAATAACATCTTTCAATAAAAATCGGCATACACTTTCAATATCATTTATTCTTAATGCTCATCCTTCAATCATATTTGATAAATTTTCTCGTGCAAGTACCAAATATTTTATTTGTCCAAGTCCCATTGGCATTGCTACCAAATCCACCATCCATTTATAATGTAAAGCTAAAGGATATGTTGGGTATAATCCATCTCAATGCCAAATGTTTGAACGTACTTGACAAATTTCACAACATCCTACAAAATTTGCTATATCTTTATGCATGTCTTTTTACTAATATTTTTCTTTCAACTTAGTAAATATTGCTCAAATACCCCGACTCTTAGCCCATCTACTCTCATGGAATTTTTTAATGATCTTTTGTTGAGTCTCAATACTATTTATAACTCGATATGGTATTCCACCCTTTTTCTTTGGATGCTTCCATAAAAATCCATTTTGAAGAAAATATCCATATGCTTTCCTTCAAATCTTCTTAAATTCTTTGTTCATCCAATCTTCTTGCTCCATTAATGTATTTAAAGTATTTTTCTATATACAATCATTCACTATCATATAATTTTTCTAAGAATAATTTAAATAATATAGCCAAACACAATTCATCCCTGCTTGCACACAAAGTTGAATAAAAATTAGTGTTGATATTTTTCTCATCATAAATTATATCATCCTTATCATTATATCATGCTTGTAACAACATATCTCCAACCACATTGTCTTTTCTCAAAATGTGCTTGAATTCAGGATTCATAGACTTTATACATGCAATCTACCTAAATATTGCAATATCTAGTCTTGAACAACTTATAATCATAACCAATAAAGGTAGGCAATTTATTTCTATAACTACTAATGTACCAATCAAATACTCCTTTTCGTTTTTTATAGCTATTACTACTTCCTATAATTTCCTTATGATTTACACATATGTCCTTTTCTTAGCATTCAAAACCTTTGCTCCAAACCGTTGTCGTGTTGTGGTTCGGCTACTATATGAAAATAATGTAATTATGTACTTAATATATAATTTATTAAGTAACATAGTGAGAGCCATATTAATAGATTTTACTTGGTTGTAGAATATAATTTGATTATTATGTTGAAAAGAGGTTGTTTAAAAAGATTACTATAGAATTTGTATAACTTTAATTTCCTTTTGATAGTGGCTTTTAAGATTGGTTTTGCTTGATAGTAACTTCTAAATATTTAGAATCACCTTTGTTAGACATTAGTGACCTTTGAAAACTTCTTTTGGCTCTTTTATTTGATGTTTAGAGCATAAATTATGTAAATCTTATAAGAAAAAAGATTGAAGAAGGGTTTTGGTAGCAAAGGGAGTAATTAAGGCACCAATATAGATGAATAGAGATGAATGATGAAAATCTCCATTTCTATTGGTCAAAAATCATGACCAATGGGCTTTGAGGATGCTACCTGAGGCCATATTAGGGATTAGGGTTAGTTTTTCAAGGCGATTCGAGTTTTGAAGGCTAGGGTCAGAAGGTTTAGGTTTTTGGCTATGGTTTTGGTGCAAATTTTGTATGGTTTGGAGTATATATGAAAGAGATATAAGCGCTCAAAGGTTAAGGTTTTGATTTGGGAGCTACTGTCACTCTTTTTGGCATAACGCACGTGTACGGTCAGCAATTGAGGATCGGCGACCGCGACTGGAGAGAGTACTTTTGCGGCTACACTTTTCATATTGTTCTTACTGGATTCTAAGTTGAAATGAAGGAGTTTTTGGATTTTGAAGTTAGTGCATGCAATCTAAGGGTAGTAAATAATCCGATTTGCTAGTAGTTGTCCCTTGAGCTATATCTTGAGAAATTTGACAAGCTTTTCGCTCAAAATTTTAGGAAATGTGTAATTTTATGTTAGTAAACATTGTGCATAAGTTTTATGACATTTGAGTATTGGGTTATTGAGATATTAAGAAAATAGTTCTCAGGTGCTTGTAAATTAGGGTTTAGAGCATCTGCTAGGATTTCTTAGATGCCAAAAGATCAAGAGTGAATTTGTGGTTGGTTTTTTTTGTGATAAAACTAAAGAGTGAATCCTACCTACCTTATAAATTTTGGACAAACTAAACGGTTAGATCAAGAGTTATGAATTTCTAAAGTTTAGAAAAAGAAAACCTTTTGCGGAAAAAATATGTGTTGAAGTGATTTTGTTATATTTTGAGTTTTATGCAAAATAAAGGAGTTTTGGGAGGCTAAGCCAAGATTCATATAAAGGTTTAAGCTACACTCTCTACAGCTAGATACCCAGTGTATTCCTAGATAGCAAATCACACCATATGACACCGTACTACATATCTATTTTCTTGTTCATCATCTTGTCCAAGTGCCCAACCTATTCCAATTGAACTTGCATCCTTTGTTAATACTATTGGCCTTCTACACTCATAATTTACTTACTTCAAAGTTGGAGGTGAAGAAAGAAGGTTTTTAAATTTTTCCATAACTTTTCTTTGTTCTTCTTTCCATTGAATTTTTTTATTTTTTCTTGACAACTCATAAAATGGATCTGCTACATCTGCAAAATGTGGTATCCATATATGATAGAAAATACATGCTCCTAAAAACCTTCTAACTTCCATTGTGTTTGTACATTCTTTCATTTTTTTTATAACATCAATTCTTTCTATATTTGGCTTACATCCATATGACCCATATATATGTCCTACCACTAAAACTTCTTTTACTCCAAATATTGATTTTGCTCCTGATAAGGTTAAATGAACCTCTTCTAATCTTGTCAAAATCTTTTCACAATCATCAATATTTCACTTATTGCATAAATCCATGTCAAATCTAGATATGAAGAAATTATACTAAAATTTAATAAAAAAATCTATACCAAATGGTTTTATGTTGTGTTTGTTTAATAAAGTTAATGTGCTATTTTTGCATTCTAATTTCAAAAAAATAAATTATAATAAAAAATATTTATATTTAAAAAAATATATATGTTTTTCAAAATAATATTGTTATAATACCACTTTTAGAAGAAGGCTTGAAGACTCCAAAATATAAGTTTAATAGACAATTCAATAGACAATAAGAAAAAAAGGTTTAAATTTAATGATGGTTTTCAACCTTGTTTGTTTAAAATCATTTCATTATTAAGTTTTGGCAATGCAAAGGTTAGTTATTATTAGAATTAATGATGAATTTCATCAAATCATGATTTTTTTATTTTTTTTATTTCTTAATTGTACCTTTTTACTATTTTGTGCTTAATTATGCATTGACCTGAATAAGATACTTATATTTTTAATATAAGATACTTGACTGAATAAAAATATCCTAATTATTACATACCAAATTCTGAAACCATAAATGATAATGGATTTTTAAAAATAGATAACACACAACAAATCTATTTTATATCTCAACACTCAAATAAGAATATTACCAAATCAAAAATATATTATTAGTATGATTAACTAAATATTTTATATCTATTTTATATCCCAAGACCACTTTCAATCTTTGAATTTCCAACTTCTATAACAAGCACAAATACAATCAACAAACAATCCGAATATTGATTAGCAATGCATAATATGACTTAACTATGTCCAACTTGAAAATTAATCAGGTGACATGTACATTGAAATGAACCAACAAATAGCACAAATAGTTTCTTAATTTAAAGCGTGACATAGTAAGTTTGAGAACTGAACGACGAGGGTGCCCAATGACCTGGTCTTTGCCATCAAAGTTTCAAGTATATTGCACCCACAAGAGTAACAATTATGCACATCTCTAGTCACACACATACAAGATTGGAACCCATCTACTCGCGGGCAGAAGAGAAAGTTTGATAGGCGTGCCCGTAGCCCATCAGGCTTATCCTCTGTGGACCACTCGCTGGAATCCTGCCTCGGCAAATTTGAAGGCATTCCATGGCTATGTACTCGCAGGATGAGACTACAACAACAACGTCTCTCGCTGTGTTCGGGAGCAACATCGTCAGCTATGGCCGCTACTGCTTTCACTGCGGCCCGTGTGCCTACCGCGGCCTCTCTCCAGGTTCTCAGTCTCGCACCTACACCTGAATTTCGTGTGTTTTGGACCCGATTTTCCACTGTGAATGGCCTGGCGCGAGCGCTAGCATTGTTAGAATGTGCAAGAGACACTGCAGTACGTGGAATGAGGTCACCACGTCTTGCGTGAGCAACGAAGCTAGTGCAGTTCTGTGTAACCAGTGAGATGAACGATGTGGAAGTGGGTTGGCCACTAGGACCTTCAAGATTGTGGGTCAACGTTTTAAGCTGGATTAGCCAAATTGCTGCAGTTTGCTGGCGCTGTCTAAGTGGGTTTTGAGCTTCACGAAGAGCCTGGGAGATCTGGAAACCACGTGTTATTGCAAGTCATGGATGGTTGCTTCAGGAAATGCTTCTCCTGAGCCATCTCCATGCATTTGTGCAGATTGCGGGATCCAATGGACTCGCGGAATTCTCCGGGATGAAGAGCGTTAATTGTGTTACCTTCGAAAAACGCTCCGATGATCTCTCTACTATCGTCGCTGCTCAGACCGTTGTGGTAAGTAATACCTTATCAGTGCTCATATCTCATCCGTCACACGTCTTTTGGAAGAGTGACACACATGTACGCATTCTATTTTGAAACTAGATTTCAAAATTCGTAATTCAGACTATGACCACATTGTTAATGTATACGATTACTGACAATTGCGATTTTATTCTGCAGGCCGCCAGCTCCGGAGCCAGCAGGGCCGTCACCGAGGCCAAGATCAAGGTTGCCATCAACGGATTCGGACGTATCGGACGCAACTTCATCCGCTGCTGGCACGGCAGGAAGGACTCTCCCCTCGACGTCGTCGTGATCAACGACACGGGAGGTGTGAAGCAGGCGTCTCATCTGTTGAAGTATGACTCCATGCTCGGCACCTTCAACGCAGACGTTAAGGTTGAGGGCAACGATGCCATCAGCGTGGACGGAAAGGTGATCAAGGTGGTGTCCGACAGGAACCCTCTGAACCTGCCATGGGGGTAAGTGATGAACAGATCCTAGTTGCAGCGTGGGATGAGCAGGGAGCTGCGTTAGTAACATGCGAATTGGCGAGGGCCGTATTCTGGGTGGCATCATGGGGGTGGTTGGGAGGAGGACCTGGTGAGATGGAGTGATATGTGTCGTGACGAGTTGGTGGTAATTTGTTGCAGCGAGATGGGCATCGACCTGGTGATCGAGGGAACCGGAGTGTTCGTGGACGAGGCGGGCGCCGGCAAGCACATCCAGGCGGGAGCGAAGAAGGTGTTGATTACGGCGCCCGGAAAGGGTGCGATCCCGACGTACGTGGTGGGCGTGAACGAGCAGGACTACAAGCACTCGGACGCGATCATCAGCAACGCATCGTGCACGACGAACTGCCTGGCGCCGTTCGTGAAGGTGTTGGACGAGAAGTTCGGGATCATCAAGGGCACAATGACGACGACCCACTCGTACACGGGTGACCAGAGGCTGTTGGATGCGTCGCACCGTGACTTGAGGAGAGCGCGTGCCGCAGCTCTGAACATCGTGCCGACGTCGACGGGAGCCGCGAAGGCGGTGGCGCTGGTGCTGCCGAACTTGAAGGGGAAGATCAACGGAATCGCGCTGCGAGTGCCGACGCCGAACGTGTCGGTGGTGGACTTGGTGGTGCAGGTGGAGAAGAAGACGTTTGCGGAAGAGGTGAACCAGGCATTCAGGGATGCGTGCGAGACGGAGCAGCTGAAGGGAGTGTTGGCGGTGTGCGACGAGCCGTTGGTGTCGGTGGACTTCAGGTGCACGGACGTGTCGTCGACGGTGGACTCATCGCTGACGATGGTGATGGGAGACGACATGGTGAAGGTGGTGGCATGGTACGACAACGAGTGGGGATACTCGCAGAGGGTGGTGGACTTGGCGAACCTGGTTGCGGAGAAGTGGCAGTAGAAGGATGGCGTGGAGATGGAAGCGATCCGATGCGGTCCCAGTGGCGGTGGCGGTGGCGATGGGTGTGCCGGAGCTGCGAACAGTTGGCAGCAGGCGCGGTGAGTGAGGCACCGCGGGTGTGCGGGAAAGGAGTGAGGTCGCAGTGGGATTGTGGGGGATGGATCGAGCCTTGGGGGATTGTTGTGAGAGTAGTAGATGTTCATCGCCAAGGTGGCGGTGAGACTCAGGAGTTCCCCGAAGGTGGCATTGCTAATGTACTCATTCGTCGAGCCTCATTCTTTCACAGCCGAGCAGCGGGAGTCAGTGGCTTGTTGGAATTTATTTTGTCAGAAACTGAATACCCGAATGTATTGTACGCTATGAAGCATTAGGAATCCAATGCACGTCGTTGCTTCTCTATACTCACGTCTTTGTTTGTGTTTTTTTTGTGTATGAGACTTTCAGGTCTGAGTAGTTGACCCTTACCTTTTCACTCACGGACGTTTAAATTCACGTCCTGATTCAAGTGTATGATGCATAAGTCTTGGTGACTCAATGATTCTTGTTTCCACACCTTTAACTGCTTAAAGCGACCTATCAAATAAGTTTCACTTTATTTTTTTCTTCATGTGGCTTGAACATTTTGTGTTAGCCGACAAAATTTAGCAAATTCCAGTTGGTTTCTCACAATGAACCACGTTTCCTATGCTATGTCTGGTGTTCCTCAAAAAGATCAATCTCATTTGCAGTTGGCAAAGAACATGACACCTTCATCACGTACAGATTTGTCTTCACCAACTATTATTACAGCTTCAGATTATAATAATGGTTGTATTTAATGCTGGAAAAAGAGGACTTTACTTCAGCCAAATATATAAAAGCTAATCTTGTTGGAAAGGTGTTACATGAGGAATTCTGGTAGGGAAGGTTGTCGAGGAAACGACTTGATAATATTCTGTGAGGTAAAGAACAGAATGACTTCATGTAGGGACAGAAGAAGAATAGGTAGTTTTAAGCCAAATACCGAATACTTCTGTCGCAATGATGAACAACAGATTCATACAATTTTTCTCCTTTTTTAAATTAGAGGGGAGAGGAGTGCCGACCGCACTGGAGATATCCTTAATGTTTGTTTGTCGCCCTGTAGTGCCAAAGGTATCTTGAACTACTTACATTTAGCATTAAAAATTATATAATGTTAGCCTTCGTAATTAGAAAATACAAGTAATAGATGAAACGTATGTTTTTATAATGTGGGCGGTAAAAATTATAAAATGATCACAATTTTTACAACCAATCCCTACATATTTGAAAAGTTGATTATTATTTAATATTGTAATAGTTTTTAATATACAATGTTATAACAGTAAGCTATAATTTTTTATTTTTTATTTTTTATACTATGTTTATGTGTATCTTTAGCAAATTACACCAAATTCTATAACATAATTGTAAAATAATTCATTTCAAGAACATTTTTTACTTCTCAAAAAATCTGACTGCTGAATTTACACAAATATTAAAAGATTGTATAGAAAATTATGTTTTGTATTATTTTCCAAACATCATTAGTGAAACAAATTGAATTGACTTTTATTTGTAATTATTTGTAGTGCATGTAATGTAGTCAAGTTCAAGGAACAGCTAGAGTAGATTTAAGTGATGATTGCTTTATATATCAATATTCAATACAACCAAATTCATTTTTTAAAATTTAAGTGTAAAAAATAATTAAAATTTTGTTAGGTATTAATTAAAATTAAAATATTACAAATAGTAAAACTTGTCTAATTGCATATTAGGTAAATGCATTTTTTTTTTTCATTCTAAATACATAGAAATCCACAAAGCCAACTTCAAGCCAATATTTAAGATACATAAACCTTTCTATTGTATATTTTTTCTACAATCTTATTCCATTTATAAATGCATAATATATAAAATGCATATATGCATTTTTACTCATGATTACTTAAAAACTACCTTTATTCCTACAAAAAAAAAGCTACATGCTAAAATAACAACCTAACATCTTTGTACTATCTACAAACCTCCAAATAAACAAGAAATTGACTAATGCACCAAGTACTTGGTCTTAAAGAGAGTAGCCTTATCTTTCATCTTTTAGATGCTGGATATGAGAATTAGAATTTCTTCATCTTGTTGCATCTTAAATGACACTTAAACTTGTATAGATTTGATAGCATAAAAACTTGAGACTTTTATTGATTCTTGAATATTATTATCTTTAACTTTATAATGAGTTACAATTTCATGTGGAAGATAATTGGTGATGATCTTATCAAGATCTAAGTTTTGGTATTGACTTCTTCACCTAGGTAGTTTAAAAAATTCTAAATGTTTGTTGGAATGAATTACAAAATTGGCAAATTTAACTCTCTAACTCTTAAATAATGTCCTTATTAATGAATTGGTCGTTGAATTTCAAACACAATCTATTCTTTGAACCAATTTGACAATAGTGGAAGCAATTCTAGATTTTCTCCAATTTGACATTGAGAGTCCAAGGTGGCATGACTATTCAAATAGTTTCAAGGATGTTTGTTTTTTAGATTCACAATGCCATCTTTAATGCATTGAAGCCAATTATCCACACTTGCAATACTATGTCTTTAAATTTCAAATATTATTGACAATGCAAGTTTGAAACATTGAAGTCTAGTTTAAAGGAAGATTAAAAAAATAATCATTGTATTTTGCAATTGAGTGTGGTAAGAAATTTTTATTGGAAAAATATGAACATTGCAAATTTCCAAAATGAGTCAAATCTTACAATTTGCTATGCATTAGCACATTTTTATTTAATTTAAATTTATAAAATTTTAAGTATTTAATTTTTATCAAGTTCAAAATCTAATTACATATCTATTGTTTATTTATTGTTACTACCAATCTAAATATTCAAACATATATACAACATTAGAGTTAAAAAGTATAATTATAAGTTTGGATGGATCCATTCCTCCAATGCCTTCTCCACGTTAGAATACTTGGTTGTTCTCTATTGTTTGCTCTAGAGATTTTCTTTGTAAGTAATAACAAGTAATGTAGCAAAATGTACAATTGCTTTGGAAATAATTGTTTGACTAATAATTAGGTTATAGTTGTCAAAAATCCAAGTAACAAGATGGCAATACATTAGAATAGGATTAATTTTGGCATGTTTATAGAGTGCAATACAAACCTTGTTAGTCATCACTATATATGTCATTTTGGGAGGCATGCTTGAGATTTGTGTTTAGTTTAGAATTATAGTTTAGAATTTTTAATAATCAATAGGTTGAATTTAATCTTTATTAATACATAATCTAATTAAATACATAACTACCTTGTAGTTCTAGCTCTATGCAATTATACAATTTCTATTTTAACTATATTCATAGATGATATTTATGGACTTACATATTTAAGGTATTCCACAATAAAAAAAAATATTTAAAGTATATAGAACAAATAAAAAAATATTATCCATAATTAATTTATTATTTTTAAATATATTATAGTTGTTTTTTTTTATAGTTATTCTTTTTAAACTAATAAATATATATATATATATATATATATATATATTTTTTTTTTAGTAAATAAATAGTAATTTGGCATAGTTTGATAGGTAATTTGATAGGTTCATGTCTTAGTTCTAACATCCTACATTAATACAAATAATATCAATATAATATTGTAATGCAATAAAAAAATAAAATAATATCTACTTGCTTTATTTTTTGACTTTGTAAAATCTTATTTATGACACCAATATACTATGATCAAATAATATGTTCTTTAATATATTACTTGTAATTACAAAATCAAATAAATAGTTATCAAATTTCAATGAAGTATGTAATAATAATATAAGGTGGTTTGATCATTATTCCCAAACATCTTTGACATTTCATTAAATACCACACTATATGATTATTAGTATTAAATGAAAGATGTCTTTTAATAAGCCTTTTAATAAAATCTATATGGAACACTTAAAGAACTATAATTGAATAAATACTTGATGCCCTTGGTAGAAATGCATTTAATTTTATAAAATAATTTCTTTTGCTAATTACTAATTTTGAAATCATGACAAGATTATAAGCACCTTAATAAAACCTTGTATACCTCTATGAATATTCTCAAAAAATCATACTCTATCTTTTATCATTCTTCCTAGCAAGTTACATTCTCCAATAGATTCAATATTAGCACATTGTTTCTAACCTCTTCATTTTTAATTAAAATTTCACCAACTTATTTTCCTAATTTGAAGTCTCTAATATAAACACACATCCACTTGATACACTCATAACACAAACTATATAATGAAAATTGAAAGGATATGGATAACACTCCCAATGAGGAAGAGATTGTTGGATTGGAATTAAGGTGGATGTGAAATAGTCACCTTAGAATTTGGGTATAAATAATGAGAGAAAATCAAGTGGGGGGAGTGCTCATCCTTTGAGCAAACAGTGGCGCGGTGACTTCCAGAGGCCGACTTGAGAGTGGCTATGGCGTCGCAGTCACACGGTCACATGCTGATGCTGCTCAGTGCGCCTCTTTTTCATTCTGCGGGGCGCAAGTTGCTCCCGTTAAGTACCCTCCGGGTTGTCGCTCTTCAGTTCGTCACGTTCTTGCGGTGCCATCAATCTCTCTTATGCTTTGTTTGGTTCAATTTCCGGTTGGAACAGTGGCGAATAGTTATCGAGGCGTCGGGGCGACGGGCTTTACATATGTAGTGGTCGAAGAGTATTCTCAATGCGCATGTAGCTTCGTTGTTGCGGAGTTGGAATTCTCGGACGACAGTTAGTGAGTTTATTGGAGATTGAGACTTGGTTGAAGCTGAAGGGAGTGGTGGGGGATTTGTTTGGGAGTGGAATTTTGTGGAGTGTGATGGATTGTCGGAACCTGGAGGCTGTATCTGGAGAACTCTTGGATAAGCGTTGCTGGCCAGTTGGAGATCGCGTCGGTAGCTGAAGAGGTGGTGTTATGGTGCATTGTGACGTGGTGCTGTTTGGAGCGACGCTGCGAAAGGGGTGGTTTCGTTTGCGAGATTGGTTGTGCTACGGTTTTCTGAGCTGAGAGGTTTTTGATGAGCTTAGTTGACGAGTTCCGGAAGTCCACATCACGGGGGGTAAGGCGGATGGTTCGGATTCCAAAGGCCTTCTCCCACCTCACGTCATTAGGGTTTTTCGAAGTCTTTGATTATTTTAGTTGGACAATGCGATCTACTGCACCAATTTCTTGTTTTGAAATTGACGAGAATGTGTCAAACTGTGACTTGGAGCGTCAGTGAATATTTCTTACCCTCGGAAGGGGCATTTGGAGCTCAATCTTAAGCGCAGGCGTGAGGTTTCTTGAGGATTAGGATTTGGAGATGAGCAGATGGCTCGTTTCGCAGCATCTGGATTCTTAAAGTAGATTGAGCGGTTTTCGAGAGAATTCGTGTGCAGGCAGCTTTGGAAATGGCAACTGTTGTGACGAAGTGAAGCTTTGACATGAGGGCAACAAGCAGAGCGGATATGGAAGAAGGGCCAGAGCCGTTTACCGAGGGGTCGGTGGGGCTCCATGTTCTCTCCGTAGGAGATGTGAAGCAAGATCAGCGGTTGAGCTCCTGGCCTGAGGATGATAACAAGTACGCGGTTGTAGTTGCAGTAAACCCTGCATTGGACAAGGACTTCCTCTGCCCTATTTGCATACAGACTATGAAGGACGCTTTCTTGACCGCATGCGGGCACAGCTTTTGTTACAAGTGTATTATGACGCATTTAAGCAACAAGAACAATTGTCCTTGCTGTGGATTGTACCTTACTAACAGCCAGATTTTTCCCAATTTTTTACTTAGTAAGGTGAGACCGATGCTTCATACTTGTAATCATTTCTCACTTCTCGTATATCTCAAAGAAGTTTCGATCAACCTCTCAATTTGAACCATATTTATTGATGCCATTATTCTATGACAATCACACGAAGGAGCTCAATCTATTTCAACATAAATGACATGCTTTGGTGTAAGCGTGATGGAGTTGGCGTGATCGTCCTTTTTTAAATTCAGCTTGTTTCAAGAGTTTCCTATGTTGCTTCTATTTGAATCACTTTTGCGCAGTTTTTAGGAAAGGCGCCCACTTCCCAGCTTGTCAGTAACGCATCTCCAGCTGAGCATTTACGGCTCGCCCTTCAGCAGGTCTGCCAATTTCTTCTTTAGTTGTCTTCTTTTCTCCTTTAAACAATTCAAGGGTCTCTGGACAGTATCGGCTGCTTATGCTGTCTTATCAGTGTGACAGGTTTCACAGTGCTTTCAAGAAATATTACAGTTTGTTAAGTTGATCTGATACTTTAGGCCGATAGCCTACGATTTTGCTAAATCTAAGACTTTCTCGACCTTACTCTTTGGTGTCGAGTGTCATGCCGGTTTGTTCAATGCTCTTCATCACCAATGTTGGGGAATGCTGTACCTGTTTAAAGCCTTCCACAGCTACAAGGATATTGCATTTTAATTTCTAGTTTTCGGAAGCACCTTTTGTGTTTTCTTATTAAGCATGGCTCTTTCTCTGAAAGTCATGCACATATAATTGTTAAGGGACACTCACAAAACGCATACAGAGATTTGTCTCCCACTAGCACTATTTCAGTCAATGCTAATAACTATACTGTATTTTACAGCGTAATAGTAAACATGCCTTGAACGAGGTTGCTTAGAGGTAGTTCTCATTATTGCAGATGGTGGAGCATGGATATAGGGTGTGGGGAGTTTCTGGTTGTTCAGTAGTGGCGCTTATCTGTTTGTGCCTTGGTATTAGGGTGCGGATTTACCCATTGAAGACATAGACTCTCTTATGCACTTACTGTCGGAGACGAAACGAAAAGCTGAACAAGAAGAAGCCGAAACTAATATGGAGATTTTATTGGAGTTTCTAGATCGATCTCGGCAGCAGAGACAAGAAGAGTTCAACCTTGTAAGATCCTATTCTTTGAGTTTGGACTACGAATAAGATGATATCTGAGGCGATGTTTAAATTGGTTGTGTCTGAAGTGAAGTGTTTGTTCATGGTATCATGAAGGAGATTGTCATGGTCCAATCACTACCTACAGGAATTGCAATGTTTAGATTAACTCCTCCTGCATTTCAGGTATTGTTGTGATCCTTGGTAGAATCATACTACCAACATGGACCATATCTGTCTGTACTGACTTTAGCTCTTCGTACGTATAGATTCAAGGGGATCTTCAGTTTCTTAGGGAAGATATCAGCATTGTGGAGAAGCAGCGGCAAGACCTCGTACGAGCTAAGGAGAAATATGGTCTAATAATTCGCTTGAGTGGATCATCATCCTGCATGCCAGACACTTTAGGTTGAAGTGATTTTGAACACAAAAAATGGCGGAGCTATTTCTCAGAATCGATGTGGTCAAGATGGTGCATCAGTTCCAGCAACTTTGCTTCCCACTAGTGTTCAGAGAGATCAGAGAGGGCGTGGTACTTCTATTGAGCCCCATAAAAAGGAAATATTAGCAGAAGGTGTGACATTGAACAAGTGCCAAACCGACTCGCAGCGGTTGTCATCTTCACCAGCGGTTCTGACAATGGCAAAGAAACGCCGTGTGTTGGCTCAGGTAAAATGTTTGGATGATCTAGCCTCTTGAAAAATCTTTACAATTTCCTATCGCGAGGTATTTAATGCGATCATACATCTGAATTGTCCCACTGCTTTGTGACAATTAATTTTTTTTTACTAATGAAAAATTCTTGACACACTGATCTTGATGAAAGGTGGATTATATTTAGTTTAGTTGTGAATTTCAGTTAAGGCTAACTTGTTACTGAAAGAGCGTAGCAATGTGGTCGCTGCCATTATTATGGACATGCTTTACGTTATGATTCTTAACTTTGTTATGGAGCTCGTCTCTTTGCACAAGCCTACCAATTTAAGTATCTAATGCGTGGGATAGTTCTGTCTAATAGCCTTGTGGCTTGTGATGATGCCAGTTTGAGGATTTACAAGAAGCTTATCTGCAGCACAGGAGGAAAGTAACACAGGTTCAAGGTCAGAAACAAAAGGTACAGAAAACGGTTGCAGATAAGAGCGAAGAAGTTACATTCGCAGGTTCCGATCGGTACTGCTCCGGCTTAAATGATTTCCAGTCCGTCCTCACTGCCTTTACACGCTACAGGTATACCGTTATTTTCCATTTGAACAATGTTGGTCCCATGGGCACATGAAATATTGCCTTCGCAACGTGCAGAGTGATGTCTCAATCATTCTTGTCTGATTTGCTGAAAGGAGTCTGGTTTGATCACATCAAGTAGTTCATTGTTAAAGCGTGGTCATGTGGAGGAATCATACCTTCGTGTCATAGTTTCTAGAAAGGCATAACATGGATTCATGTTCTTGTGCAGTCGGATGCGTGTAGTTGCAGAGCTGCGTCACGGAGATTTATTTCATTCCTCAAATATTGTTTCAAGGTAACGATGCGATTATGAAGAGTTTGAGAACATTACTATGTAATGTCATGGTTTGGTGACAAAGATTCTCCTCTCTGATCCTTTACCTTGCTACTTTCGATTTCATTTCGTGCTAAGCAACACATGAAAGATCCACAGTAGCCAATTTCCTAATTTCACTTGTTGATCACTTATTTACGAACTTATAGTAGCACTTCCATATATGCAGCATTGAATTTGATAGGGATGACGAATTCTTCGCAACTGCTGGTGTTTCAAGGCGGATCAAAGTTTTTGAATTTGCAACGGTATTCCTCGCTAATTTGAAGACGGTTATGACTATTTATGTTTATTTGTCAACTGGAGCCTTTCCTTAGTTATGAAGTGTAAGAAAAATAAAACAGAAACTTATTTGTAGGGAAGGTAGATTTTAAAATATGTTTAATATCTTATTGTGGATTCATTCGTAAGTCTGTCTTGGCTGCATTTAAAGTAAATTCGACTTTTTTTTGGGTTTTATTTATTGTTTTGCTGTACTGTGACTTGACCTGATCTTGTTTGGCTTTTGTTGCACCACTCAGGTTGTCAATGAGTTGGCTGATGTCCATTGTCCAGTAGTGGAGATATCAACACGGTCAAAATTAAGTAGCCTAAGTTGGAATAAGTGCATCAAATCGCACATTGCCAGCAGTGATTACGAAGGCATAATTACTGTCTGGGACATCAATACACATCAGGTTAGTTGTCATTCTCATTCTTTATGTTAAGTTGTAGGTACACATCTTTTTGTTTTGTAATTGAGGTTCTGTGTTATTATTGTGTATGTAAGAATGTGATTTTATACATTATTTTAGTTCTAGTATGCTTAAGTTTATAATCAGCTGTCCTCAATCGGTGTTGTAGAGCGTCATGGAATATGAAGAACACGAGAAACGGGCCTGGAGTGTAGATTTTTCACGAACTGACCCGACTATGCTTGTGTCAGGAAGTGATGACGGCAAGGTGAATGATTTGAAGTCACGTGATCTGTCCCCTCAAATGATAAACCTGTTACTGGCTTGGTTTCACAGCTTAAGTAACCGTTTTTGGCTGTCTGCATTTAGAATGAAATCCATTGTTCGATCCATTCCTAGGTTTCTTATATCGTTGTATACAGGTGAAACTATGGTGTACAAGGCAAGAGTCAAGTGTACTTACCATGGATATGAAAGCAAATATTTGCTGTGTGAAGTATAATCCAAGTTCAAGCAACTACGTGGCTGTAAGTTTTGCAATCCTTCAATGGTTGATCTCATCGTCTTTTTTGCTCTTCTCGATATATTAACCTTGGTATATGCGTGTGAAAGTATACATGTATATTTATATTTTTGAAGCGCTACTATTTGTGCTTGATTTTCTGGTATTGAGTTAGCTAATGGGTTCTATCTGGTTGCAGATTGGTTCTGCGGATCATCACATTCATTACTTTGATGTGCGTAGCCCTCAGTTACCCCTGTATGTGTTTCATGGTCATCGTAAAGCTGTTTCTTATGTCAAATTCTTATCTTCAAACGAGTTGGCATCTGCATCAACCGACAGCACTTTGCGTCTTTGGGATGTCAAGTCGAACTGCGCGGTAGGTCTTGCTGTTTATGAAGTCATGTTTATTTACTTGCTTCGTAAGATTTGGTCTTAGAAGACAATCTATGATGATGTATCCTGAAAGTTTCAAAGGAGCGCTGCAGGCTATGTTAGTTGTACTTGCAGGCTGGCATTCTCTTTCTTGATATGTCTATGGTCATCTGCATCTGAATTTTGCTCGACTGATATTGGGTTCTGTGGGTGCAGATAAGGACACTGAGAGGACATACCAACGAAAAGAATTTTGTTGGGCTATCTGTTAACAGTGAATATATAGGTTGTGGTAGTGTAACAAATGAGGTGTTTGTTTACCACAAGGTAACGTTTTGTTTCTGTTTAGTACTAGTGCACATTGTGATCGTGGAATCTTTTGTTTTTTACAACTTCAAGTAAACTTCTGTTTATGACCTTTGCTTGTAGAAAGATGGCTTTAGAGATTTCATTTGGTTCTATTCTGTTTTTTAATAAGCTCCTTTTTCGTGAGGGATAAATTAAGCTATTTCAAAAGTGGGTTAGGAGATGTTATTCCTGAGATCGAAACACAACCAACAATTTTACTAGATTATGCGAATGTGTTGTATGAAAAACCTGCGCTTCTATGTTTGTCGGATCTTGTCTTTTTCGGAATTCACAGAATTATTGTGCTAAACTCTTCCCTTTGTCTGCAGGCCATGTCGAAACCAACATGTTCGCACAGATTTGGATCCCTAGATGAGGAAAGTGATGATGATACCTCCCACTTCATAAGTGCCGTGTGTTGGAAAAGTGAGAGCCCCACCATGCTTGCGGCCAATTCCCAAGGCACAATCAAAGTCCAGGTGCTTGCTCCTTGATTCAATTGCGATGTCTGTGCCTTTCGGGCCATGAGTTGTAACAAGGTTGCAGGATGTACCTTCATTTTATCAATGATCCATTCTAGTTTTGATTGGTTCATGTAATCTATCCCCTGGTTTCTACCCGTGAATGTTATTAAGAAACCTATTTTTGGTAGCCCTCTTTGATACACGTCCCGACTTGACGGATTTCTCTGTTTCTGTGAGAAGAGGTTTTTCGCTACGATAAATACCAGCGTGGTGCAAACTACGATAAATGAGAGTTGTTTTTGGAACCGATTTTCCCTGGTTTTGGTCCTATTATACCAGTTCATATATACTACAAAATGCATGCAGTGGCAAGAGGTAGTATGCTCTTTTCTATTTTTGGCAGCACAATGATCTGGTGGATACTGAGAAACTTGGTTGCAGCACTGGCAAGTCTTGTTGGATAGTTCTTTCATGTGCCACCTGCTAAAACCTGGCTGAGCAGGACTATGAAAACACGTCAGTATTGATGTCACCTTTGCAAACCCCAGTCTACATTTCGAATGAAAGGTTATCGTAAAGAAAACCTCTGTGGTCTCCTTTTACTTATTGTTGGAAGTGGTGCCTTGTGAGAAAGAAAAGCTATCAGACGAAATCTATGTTATTCTACCAAGAATATGAAAGAAATAATTCTGGATGGTTATGCGTGTACTGTGGCTCAATAATTTCCTGGAATACAAGTGAAAACAATGGCTCTGATGGTTCTTTTGTGGATCCAAAAACTTTGCAATTCTTGTTGCAACATATCAGTATAATTTTCTTTATTTAAGTTTTTGACGTGAAAGCAATTCCTCTGAGCTCCTCAATTTCATCCAATCAATACTCAAAAAGAAAACTAGAACTGACAACCTTTGACATTGCATATAGTGTGCAGTTAAGTTCAAGTCACACTCCAACGTTTTGGATGTATGTAAGGATGTTTTTGGATAATATACCAGCAGTTACGTGAAAATTTGAAAAATCGCTATTCATATGCTTTAAGTACTGAGTGAAACATAATCTTACCTAACCCAATCCTACAAGACTCAGCTTTGAATTCAACCTAAAACTGAATCAACAAGACCATCGAAATCCAGTTGATCTGAACACATTGGGCGTGGTTCGGAGTGACATCGAGAGAACTTCGGTATTCTCAAGGACTGAGCGGATTCCGGAAGCAAGTGATGTAGCCCCACCAAGAGGTGTTCCGGCTGCAACAAAAGGGGTCTCTGCTGCATAAAAAGTTAATATACCTCAAGAGTTTAATTATTTGTCACATATACTCTTTTAGAGCAGAGGTCAGAAGCACAATTCTAGTACTGTGAACTGTAGACACAGTGGGAATAGTAGTTTCTATTAATAGGAGACGTGATGCTGGAATTAATAACCTATAGGATGAGTACCTGAGACATAAAACACTAATATGTAATTGCACCCATAAGCATCCCCCATGTTCTACAATCCAATGAAATCGCACCCTCGCAACCATCTAAGTTTCTGCTCAAATTATAAAGTAAGGCACGTAGTAGTCATGAGCACTTGTACTACAGCTCATGAACTATTATCTCGTGCGGTAAATTACTTCTTGATTACAGTGATAATGGCAGCCCCTATTTAGCCCAAAGATTTGACTGTACTGATTTACTGGTTACTGGTTACTTTGGTGACTACGCTTATGACACTTTTGCAAATCCTGCTGAGGCATGTGTGACCATATTAGAGGCAGGCGTCTAATATAACATGTGATCTAATTTCAAGGAAGTTCTGGTCGTCAAGGCTGATCCAGATTCCGAACAGCCCCTCGAGTCGTTTGTGCGTCGCGTTGATGCGTTTTCTACACAAATCTAGAGTTGTGGTCAAACATGGAGCATCAGCGTGCAGGTCCAAGGAATTCTGGATTCATTGATTTCGGCAAAACTGGGTTGAAACTATCACCGGCAGACGGTGCCGGTAATTGGGACCGCTGTTCTCTAGTCCCATATAAGCTCATCACCTAAGTCTCTCCTACTCAAATCATCCCTCACGTCTCTCACACTTACATCCAAGTAGCACTTGCCGATTGAGCCAACCAGTTCAGAAGATCGCCACCTAGGAACAAGAAGGTCCACAGACCTTCGAATCCGGCAATTGAAGAGCCAGTTCGACAACTCTCGATCTCCATGGCAACATCACTGGTGGCATCCTCTCCGATCGTGTCAACTGCTTCGATGCGGACGAGTTCTGAAGCTTTCAGTTCCCCACGCGGAGTTGGAGCTAATGTTGGGTCTCAGTCAGGGTCTCTGCTGTCCACCACTCTGCAACGGCCTGTCTTCAACCAATCCACAGATGCCAACAAATCTCTTCGTATGTCTACACAGAGAGTATGTGTTACGTCTGATCTTGAGGCGCCAAACCTGAGGATTAATGTCCCGAAAAAATCATCTAACAAGTCAGACATTTCCAATCCCACGGAAGTGTTGCTGGAGAAGTTTGCTGCAATGGGACCGCCCAATGACACGGAGCTCTCTCGTATGAATGAGGCAGCTGATCGGCTGTTTCTGTGGGACGACGTCCCCAAGCTAGGTACATCTATCAGATCACTGAGTTCTGGCAATTGGCTGCTTCTATGAAGTGCTTCTTACAAGTTTTTTTATCAAATGCTCAGGGTTGTTTCTATTACGCAAGGTCGAGCATCCTAGCGTTTAATTATCTCTTGATGTGTCACTCAATACCGCGACAATGTCAATCTTACTGCAACTTTGGATGACTCATTTTGCAGTGACGGAGCAGACGTTCACGGTTTATGAGCTGAACGAATTTGACCGAGACAGCCCTGCTTTTCTGGAACTGAGTCGGCAAACCGTGAACAGGGTTGATCCAAACACAGGGGATCATATCAAGGCACTCGGTGACCAAGTTCCCTTCACGAACAAGGTGCTATCCATTCATTTTCTCCTTGAATTGATCTCTTAGTTTGTTGAACATCACTTAAAAGTGTGGGCTTTGATCAATCTGCCCACATCCTCGTAAGCTACAGTTTTCTCGCAAAAATTGGTAATCGAAAGATGCAGCTGTGGAGTAATCCCTTGTCAAGTTTCTTCCATTCAGGGAGGTTCTTTCCAAAAGCTTGCCAGTTTATAGATAACCCCGACAGGAATCCGAGCTTCTCTCCGGAGAGCCCAGAATGAATCAAACTGGCACCTGCGAAATAGCCTGTTTTCATCGTGCTCTTGGAAAAATTGTCGATGCTTTGATTGCAGTGGCTAACTAAGTTTTTTGCTTGCGTGCAGCTGTACAATTCAGCATTGGAGATGAGGCTGGGTATCACAACAGGAATCTGCTTACACATGAAAAACTATCCAGGGAGAGGTGCGCCTGAATTACATAGCTTGCCATTCTTCACGTCAGACCACTACGAAACCATCATGTCGTGGTACTTCGGCGACATGGGCCACATCAGCGGCATGGTAACCAAAAAACTCACCACTACTTCATCACCCAATAACAAAACTCGCCCATATAGGAACTATCAAAGTTCCACACGTTACTCATCCAGAACTGGTTTATTGCCATCTCATTGAATAACAAACTGTTTGTGAAACAGGGTCCATTCATAAATTTCCAGGACACGCTCATGGGCATCACTGGAGGAACAGGATTCTTCGCAGAGGCCAGAGGCGTCGTTCGCCTGCATCCCATCACCCCCTTCAAATTCATGTACACCTTCACCCTTTCGGGCATCCCAGAGCTGCCCGGATTCCTCACGAAGGAGCTTGCGCCGCCCCATTTCGAAGTGGAATCCCATCCAGATGCTTTGAAGTGCAAGAGTGAGTCCGTTCTCCCCAACTACACCGACTAGAATCGATCCCATCTTACAGCACACAACTCACTCTGCCTGGTTCTTCTGTTTCAGTGCAAACATTGCACAGTTCTGCACTGCGTCCTTCATGACTGATAGCTCAACATCATCGCTCCAAAGATTCAAACCCACTTTTATTTGTTGGAAGCGAGGATGAAGTTCGAACACAAATGCTCATGAACAGCCAGTCCAGTCACACGCAATTAACTTGGCTTCCACTGACTCTATTGTGTCAACTATTTCTAGCATAGTTTCTGTTTTCCTTTTGTGTGGCATTCAGTTTGGCAGTTTCTTAATATTAGAAGTAAGTGAACTGAGAGTTTTTGATAGATAAATATAAATTTATTATTATTATTAAAATGTGTGTACATTGGTTTTACCCTGTCTAGAGAGGAGCGACTGATTAAGTCGTGCCCCCTTGATAGGGTGCAACAGGGAGCAACGTTTCAATCGCTTTGTTCGCTATGTTTGGTTACTTGTGCGATTGTTTCCAACACGGCCGTTTAACCAAAGCAACACAAACTAGAGGTTTCTCTTCCAAGCAAACCAAGCATTGGTAAATGCTGGGCAAGCTTTGGCCCAGAGAGTGACTTCGTGAGGATGTCAATATGCATTGTAGATGTGGGGCAGTATTGAAACACGACCTTTTATTGCGTGGCGAGCTGTCTTATGAAATGATAGCGGATAGAGATGTGCTTTAAGTGGGAATAGAAACGAAGGTCTAGGTGCCATTGACTGTATGGAAATAGAATTCATCGACTATGGCAGATTGTTAATGGTGGCGCTCGAAGAAGTTCATGCCCTACGCATAGGAAGCCGGTTCTAGTGGTACCGCAACAAGAGTGAGGAGGGCTCTATGTTTGCAAGAAGGTTGAGAGGGAGGAGACCGCGGCCGAAAAGAACTAAGGTCGTAGTTTTTGGAGGGGTCAAGCAGAGGGGGTACGCCCTTATTAATGCAGGCAGACCGACGGATGGGCGTAGGACGGTGACTAATGGAGGATGTAGCAAGGGGATCAACAGGACGGATAGAAAGTGGGACTTGGGCATGGTGACCCAAATGAAGCATGAGAACCAAGCCGGAGAGAGATAAGACTGCGCTCTACGAAGGAGGGCAAGGCTGAGCCATGATAGTGTTGGAAAGGGAGGCCTCTGAAAGCTCGGCCAGTGTAGGGAGCGCGGGCACAGGGAAAATTGGCGAAGAGGCTGAAATATGATCGAGGGAAAAAATAAGATGAAGATGTTGCAAGCTTGGGCTAGGAGCATTCATGCTTGCAAATCTAGTAGAAGGATGATTGAGCTATGCAGCATTGGACAGAGTAGCAGGACTTAGTTGAAGGTGCTCATTCAAAGACCTAAGGACAAGTTGATTAGGAGGAAGTAAAGATCTGCTAAGAAGGAACAAATGGACAGTATCTTTGTGAACGGAATCCTGCTAACTAGTGGACAGAACATGCATTGGGGGAGGAGCAAGCCTCCTCTTGAAATATTATATCCCTAGATATAAGAGTGGCACCAGTGCTGAGAAGTTGAACCTTGTAGCCTTTGCTAACCGTATTATATCTAAGGAAGATGCAAGCTTGAGTTTTTCCATCAAGCTTGACATGAAGGGGATCATGGATTTTTGAATTACAACGACTCCCAAACACACAAAGGTGAGTTAGATTAGGCTTCTTCTTGTGCCACAATTCAAATGGAATGGTATGAAAAGAAATAGCCTTTATGAGAAGTTGATTTTGAAGGTAGGTAGCTCAAGTGACGGCTTTGCCTCAATACGGTTGGGAAAGTTGAGCCTCATAGAGCATGCACCTAATTGTATTGAAAAGAGTTCGATTCTTTTATTCAGCTATACCATTCTGACATTGTTGTATAGTAACATGACTACATGATGAAAAATAAAAAATTGATGTTACTAAAGAAGAACCTAGTAGAAAGATGTAGTGAAAAAATAATGATTAATTATAGAAAAGATAGTAAAAAATATAGTCTTAATGTTGTCTTTTATAGAAGAGACTTCTATTTATTTTGTAGAAGCATAAATGAGTCAAATCAAAATAAATGAGATAAGAAATTGATATAGACATATCTAGGAGAGAGTTGACAATAGGTTAAAGAAAATCTTACATCAACTTATCAAAATTTGATATCCAAAAAGGATTGGTTGTCAACCTGGGTTGAAATCAAACCTTGAGGTACAAAATTGCATATCTATGGCAACATTGAGATTTTTTCATGAATTAAAGAGTGGAATTTGAAGAAAAACTTGAGAAGACATTTTTAGGCATTGGTTACATGTCATTTGGATCAATATTGAGAATTTGTGGAATTTTTAAAGTTAAAGATGTACTCAATGGGTTTAGATTTTGAGAAATAAAAATATATTTGTAAATTTGAAGGTTGCTTAAATTTGTGGCATGTGCATAGGTGAAATTTTGGAACATTGCTTTTATACTTGTTATTAATGTATGTGTAAAATTTAAGATCAATTGAGTGGTTAGATTAAAGTATATAAGTATTTTTGTAGATTATAGTCTTGGAAATTTGAATTTTAGGATTAGTAAGTGATTCTAAGATCTAGCAATATTTTTAGTTAGATTGAAGCAAAATTTAGAGAATTCACTTAAGACTTAAATACCTATACTTAACTCAATTTTTGGAGCAATGGAATAATTCAACAAAGAGAAATTGGTATTGAAAAATCAGTATTTGAATTGGAAAAGAAAGGTAGCCAATGACCAAGAGGTTTTGAGAGCTTTTCTTGCAATTGGTAAGTTCAATCCTTCTCAAACTTTATATGCTTGTTAATTACTTATTGGTTGAAGTCTAAGTAAAATTTTATTCAAGATCTATGATTCAATTAATATTTATTGAGGTTTGAAATAGCTATAGTAATTGATTGAAATTTACTTGAGATTTTTTTGGAATTTTTTAAGGTTTTGGATTTCATTAGGATTTGATATAGGATTATGGTTTAGAATTTTTTAAGGATTTTTCTAGGATTTTATTAGGATTTGATCTAAGATTTAGTTAAGATTCATTAAGATTTTTTTAGGATTTTAATTAAGATTTTATCTTAGATTTGGTTAAAATTTATTAGAATTTTTATTAGAATTAAATTAGGATTAATTAAGATTTACTTAAGATTTATTTAGAGTCTCTATTTTTAATATTTTAAAAAGATTGTTAATTATTTCTTTATAAAATTTCTATTTGTAGGATTTTTTTAAAGATTATTATTATTTATTTAAGATTATATATATATATATATATATATATATATATATATTTAGAATTAATTTATTATATTTTTTTGAGATTAAATCATGAATTTTTTGTATTTCTTTTGTGAATTCTTTTAAATTTATTTTTATTAGTGAAGGTTTGATTGAGATTATTAAGGATTACTTGAAGTTTATTTAGGACTCTATTAGACTTGATAGAATTATTTTTGTATTTCTATTTACCTTCCACAAGTAGGTTCCTAGTGCACTCTCAAGCCAGAACACATTTAATACGATAACATGGTATATTAGCTATAGTGAATTGATATTGAATTCCATATGTTTCTAAATATTGAGTGAATTCTGAAGATAAGTACTCTCTTCCTTGATTGAAATGGAGAGTTTTGATTATATAACCAATTTGACTTTGAATCCATGTATAGAAAATTTTGGACACATGTAGACATTCACTTTTGCATTGTAGTAGTTTAAGCATTGTATATTGTAAAAAATCATCTATGAATGTAACATAGTATTCATAGCCAGAGAATATTGGAGTAGCTATGTAGTCGCTTAAATGAGAGTGAATTAATTCAAGAGACTGAGTTGCTTATGTAGTAGTTTATTTAGAAAATTTTATAGCCACATGTTTGCCTCGGAGGCATGTTTAGTAGACTTTACTAGATATAATCTTAAGATTGAATTCAGTAATTAAAGAAGTATTGAGTAATTGTTTGAAACAATCACTACCAAGATGACCAAGTCATCAATGCTATGAAAATTGTTGCAAGATAAGTAAAGATGCAGTAGTTAAAGATTGGCTTTAAAAATAAAAACACCATAGCAGGAGAAATGCAAGGTGTCATTATTACAACCACATATTGGATTTGTAGTTTTATAGAGCCTAGTACATAAATATTAGTATGAAGAAGGCAAGTAGCAAGGATGGTGTTGTCTCTTGTTAAGAGACAATACATCTGATTTTTAATTAAAATACCACAGCTTTTGAAGTCATGATCACATATTGATTCAGTATTGAAGAAAAAAAGTGTCTTACCCTTGGCTATTAAAATCTCTACTTTTCTTTGGCCATATATAGGTAAGATTGTATCATTGCAAAGATAGATCTTTTTTTCACCATTTAGAAATAATTTATAGTTGATGAATTGGCATTTATCATGTGCTAAGTGGTAGATGGCACTAGTATCAATGAGCCATTATGTATCTTTGGTGGTTCTAGACTAGGGTGATTTCTCGAAGCAAAAAACTTATGTAATGTAAACATGGGCATAGAAAGCGGGAGGTAATTCTTCTACTTGTTCTTATTTTTATAGGTGTTTATTTTTGTTGTTGTCACGATTTGTAGCTTTTGAATTTGTAACAACTCCTATTTTAATTTTAAAACAATCGAAACCTCAATGTCCTATTTTCTTACAATCAGGATAAAGATTTGTAAATTTTTTATGAGGTTTTGAAAGCTTATGGTCTTTTAGAGTGGATTTGTGAGGTTGCCATTTAGTCTTTTCTTTTTGTCCTACAAAGAGATCATGTGAATAAAAAAAAGAGCGTTTTATGGCTATTTTTTCTTGTAAAAAAATTGAAATAAGTTTAAGGAGTGTTACAGTCCTTATTGTGTGAATTATTTAAATCACAATGTTACATTAGAATGGCATACATCTCACGAAAGTAATAAATTCTATTTGAAGAAAGATGCTAATGCTTATAAAATTGCATTATTGAAGGAGATTTCTAAAGTTGTGTATATACTAAGTTACCGATTCTTTAAATTTCATCTTTTATGTGATGAATTTTTCTTATAGAAGACCTTGAATGAGTACATCACTAGTAGAGTAAGTATTTTCAACGACTACTCATGCTTCATTGGTTGTCTTGGATGCTCCAACATAAGAAAAAGTAAGATTTTCTACACAATGTCAAATTGCTACTAAAGCAATATAATTTTTTTTTTTTTTTTTTTTTTTTTTCTAAATAAAGATTTCAATTTGATTAGTTGATGGTGAAATTGATATTGTATTCACTTCTTGAATTGATATTAGTTGTGTTTCTTTTCCTGAAACTTCATCTCATAAGTTGTCTATTTCAAACTTCATCTGAATCTTTTCCTTCTAAATAGAGTACTACAAGCCATCAAACTTAGGCAATTTTTTTTCTAGCAAGGCTACTTAAATCCATGTTTCTTTGAAGAGAAAAAAGAAGATTTGTTGGTGCTCCAACTTTCCATATAGAACATCTTTTATAAAGCATTTTTTTTTTTTTTTTTTTTTTTTTTTTTTTTTTTTGTCTTTGATTTTCATGTTTTCTTAAGTTTTTAACATAAAACTTTCTTAGAGCTTTGCTTTGCTACTACATTAGAATTAAGTAAAATATTTTTTCTGATACATCTATATATATATATTTATTAAAATATATGTACATGGGTTTTATCTTGTTGAAGGAAGAGCAATTAATTAGGTCACGCCCCTTTGATAGAGTATAATATTTTAATTGCTTTATTTGTTATATTTGATTATTTGTGTGATTTTTTTCAACACATAATAGCTTATGAAGGGTTTAAACTTGGATTTTTGGTACTTTGCCCAACTCATAATAAGAAAACTTATAATATAGCTATAGAAATATAATAATATTATAGTATTGATAGCCAAACCTTTATACAATTGTATTAGCCTCACA